GGTTCCTTCAGTGCCACCTGCTCTAACCCGTGGAAGATAATTCACTCGCTCGTGTTGGTGCTGAAAGACATTGTATTCATTTTTCAATGCTGCTCTGAGAAATACATTATATGATAGAAATAGTGATCTTGATAATGATGATATTCAGTGCCACTAATGAGCATTATCACGGTCTGATGATCTTTCTTTGCAGTGAACAGTATTGATTGTGAAACAGTGCCCATAAATGAGAAGACCCTGGAGGATCTAGGCCCAAGTGGGCCTAAACCCATCCTGCCTTACAGTTCAATGTTCATCTTTGGACAGACCAATCCGTGAGTTCTAAGCTCTGCTTCCTCCCTCCATATGGTTAGAAGGTGCTACCACACTGAGCCATCACAACATCCTGTGAATGTTAGCCAGTGTAGCTCTTGGGTGGTATTTTATTTCATATCTGTAAAAAAGAACATATTGCATGTCTTACTAAAAGCCAATCTCATGGTACCGATGAGTGCTGACAGGCACCAGTTGTATATAGCATTTTAACACTGCTGGAGTGTGGGAAGGGACAAGAACAGTGAAGCAACAGCAGGTACTTACTTCTTTTTTCTTGGCCTCTTTTTCCTCAGGGTGAGGCGGTTGTGTCACTATATTGTGACTCTGCGTTATTTTGAGATGTCCATCCTGGTTGTCATTGCGATGAGCAGTATTGCTCTGGCAGCAGAGGACCCTGTCTGGACTAATGCACCCCGCAACAATGTGAGACATAGAGTACACAGTAATAAAACTACATACAATACCCACTGTACTCATACAGAACTGAGAGAAGTATTTTTTCTTATCTTTTCTTCTGCCTGAGTCAGGTTTTGTATATACATTTATATATATTTTTTGTCTGTGTGTGGTGCCTAAAAATGGGGCCATACATCTATGATAGACTGGATTATTACGCAAGTAGAACTATTTCAGAATAGTATCTACAGTTTCTTTTCTACTTTGTTGTCTTTGTCAGTATTAATCAAGTCTTTTTACAGGTGCTCAAATATCTGGACTATGCCTTTACTGGTGTTTTCACTTTTGAAATGGTGATCAAGGTAAACACTACCCTTTGAAATTCACTATTGTTCACTGTATTTTTGTATGTGTTTTCATTATATTTTATCAGAAGCAAACTGGTGACTCATTTCAGTTTTTACTTGCAGAAACCAAATAAGTAATACTATATTACGATACTGAGGCAGGAATGTACCTCACTGTGACCAGTGCAGTTCACTCAGTATATCTGCTGCATTATGGTTCTTATACGTATAATCCACAGTATTTAAATCTGACAGTGTTCTGTCAGTGAGAAATTTAACACCAGATTTAATTGCATTTCAATATAATTTAAATCATGACTTTTGTCTTACTCTTCTGCCAGCGAGAGTGATTACACTGCTGTCTCTAACATTTTTTGTTATTTTTTATTTTTTGTCATACACTATTACCATTGTAATAGTGGATACTCATTATGAGCAAAAGTATAAACAGAAGAAAGTCCTTATAACAGTTGATTTTAATAGGTAATTTTAAGTTAAACAAAATAAGCAAAAGAACACAAATTACCTGTTCTTGGTTTAGATGGTAGACCTGGGGCTATTGCTTCATCCTGGATCCTACTTCAGAGACCTGTGGAACATCCTGGACTTCATAGTGGTCAGTGGGGCACTGGTGGCATTTGCTTTTTCGTAAGTTCCACAGCTTCTGTCTTTCTGTGATAAAATGAGACATTTACAGATATTGTTAATCCTGAATCTGGTGTGTTATGTGCAATATACATCAAATACCACACTACACTGAGAGATGACATATAATTTAAATGATAGTGCGTACCTTTGGTTAGCCAAATGTACAGTCATAGCTACAGTCAAGTTTTGATAGTGGCAACAACTGTGTTTTATATACTGTACTGGTTCAGTTTTCATTTAATTATTTTTACATGTTTCTAAGTGAAGAACAATCATTTGCATTTCATGTTTTGCTTGTTCACCTGTTTTTTAAAGATTCTCTTAGGTATGGATCCAAAGTGTTAGTTTGATGCTCTCTCAGCCACTTAGTTATCACGAAGTACAGATTCACAGAATTTCAACAAATTGTTTCTCGTTCACTGGAAGTGGCTGGACAGTCAAAAAGCTCTCAAACTGATCAACTCTGAGCACTGATAAGGCAGGATTGAGTCACCTTTATTCAGGTCCAGAAGCTGATATTGAGCATGCCACAGCAAACTGGAGAAATTATAAAGAAGAGGCGTCATAACCATAAGTACTGTCTCTTTGCACGAATTTGATTGTTTGTTTGTTTTTTGCCAAGGAACTCTTTGAAGCTTATGAAATGATTACGATTATTTTTCACTATATCATTGAAACAAATGGCAAAATGTAGGAAACACAAAATTTGTTCCTGTGCCAAAACGTTTGCCTTGACCATAAACACTATACACATACACTAACCTTACAAAAGCAGATGACCTCTTTATGTATGTTTGAGAGGTGTGTATGAGAGAGTGTGTGTGTGTGTGTGTTATGATATTGTACAATGTGCTAATTTACATAATCCTCTCCCTGTTTCTGTCCTGGTATCGTTTTGAAGGAGCTTCATGGGGTAATGCCTCCTCTACCTCTCTCATCTTGCCTGTTTGTGTCATTATCAGTGCGTATGTATGTGAGAAAGAAAACATACATGGCTTACACTGCAAAAACAAGTAATTTCCTGACATACTCGGTCTTACTTCTTGACATCTAGGTCACAAAGTATAAAGAAATTAAAGTTAAAATTAAAGTCAAATAATCTAAATTTGTCTTTTTTAATACACCAACAACAATCTACCCTGTTTACTATATGGAAATGTATTTGGCCACAATTCTATGAGGGAAACCGGACAAACACAATTTTCAAACTGTATAGAAATTTAAGCCAATACATTTTTCAGCATCCTTTTGTGAGTAAGATTAAATTAACTGCTTACAAAAATATTTTTCTGTTAAAATTGCCCACTTGTTTTGAATCATGCCAGAAGCTAGGGCAAATCCATTTTACACAGAACACAGTTATATTAAAAAGATTGTAAAATAGTGATTGTTGAAGGAAACAATCAGCAATGTCAGAATGACAAATTACAACCCTTATCTGTTTTGTTTTATTTTCTTTTGTTTGTTTGTTTTTGTTTAAGCAGTAAGCAGTATATGTAGTGAAATTGCTTGTGAGAATGTTTCTTTTTTGCAGTGTATAATGTTTTGTTTGGGACACACGCATCTGGTCTACCAGCTATTCATGCGTCATGCAGGTTGAGAACCTGGTTCCAGCACTGTATCATGTTGCTTGGCATCAGGTCCTTGCTCTATAGCCATTTGTGCTATTCGGGGACATGGCACAATAGTGCTCATATCTCGTATCTTCCCTGAGCCTTTGAGAGGTGTTTTTATCAGCACTGTGTTTTGCCACAG